CTTCTTAAGGCTGCTCAAGCAGACACAAGGGTAGGGAAATTTTGTTTTTGGACTAGTATTAAACAAGTATGATATAGGTAATAACAAAGAAAGGGGAGTCTTGGAGCAACGGTAAAGTTGTCTCAGTGTGACCTATAGGTCACGTGTTCGAGCCGTGGAAGCATCCACTAATGCTTGCATTAGGGTAGGCTGTCTACATCACACCCTTGGGGTGTGGCCCTTCCCCTGACGCTGCATGAACGGGGATGCTTTGTGCACCATGCTACCATAAGTAATGACAAAGTCCCCTTATCTCAACTTCGTATGATCAGTTCAGTGTCGGAACAATACTTGAAAATTGTATGGATTTTTGTTTGTTGCCCCACCTGGCAATTTTTTGAACCCAGTTAATACTTCTGCAGATGTGCTGAATGTAATTCGTATGAGCTATAAAATTTCTCACTCACGCAACTAACGTGTTTCTGAATTTCTGAAAAATCTTATGCTAGATTGAACATCTGGCATTTTACCTCATCGAGTTGTGCTTGGTTGAATATGAAGCTTTGAACTACAAGCCATCCATGCTTTGTGCATCAGCTATTTATGTGGCAAGATGTACGATGCAAATGACGCCAGCCTGGACACCACTGCTGGGGATGCATGCACGTTATCAAGAATCCCAACTCAGGCATATTTCTGCATAGTATTTGTCGCTCTTTGCTCTTTGCAATCTACTGATATATAATCTCTTTGGATGTTCGCAGACATTGCGCGGAAATGATCTTGAGGTTTCACAAAGCTGCAAGCACAGCACTTTTGAAAGTCACGCATGAGAAATATATGCAGTCCAGTAACAGCAAAGTTGCTGCTATAAAACCTTTGCAGAGTCTCCCTTAAGTATATATCTCTGCTGAGTTCAGTTTTCTGGAAGTGCAGAAACATCTGAGGAACTCAAAAGAGATGTGAGCTTCCCTGTCAGAGACTTCTATTCTCAATGTAATAGTTATTTTTGATATGCTAAATATATTGTTTGGGTTGCATTGGATTTTCTTGCAGGTGCTGTAAATCCGTGTTGATCACAACTCTTTGTAATGGCTTCATGGAAGTTGAGCTTGGTCTTCAATCCTTGTAAATCGATCATAGGGGGCTCTCTTAACTATAAGACATTTAGTTTCCCTTTAGAGTAGTCCCAGGGGAAGGCAAACCCACTTTTTTATGGCGACGGAAATCATTCTATCTCTAGCCTCCCAGGGAAGCTGAAAATGGGCTCTAGTTCTATTAATAGATTAATAGATAGTAGATTAGAGCCTCCTGTGTTCATCACGATGTGCGTAAGCTATACGAATTTTAAGGACTTCTTTTTTAAAGCCTAGGCTGCAAACGAATTGTTGATAGTGATTCTGGCGTGTTGGAAAGAATGGATTAATTGCTTATGCAATCCCTCTGTTACATCTGCTGATTTTTGTCGTGCAAGTGCATTTATTTCTGGAAAAATTAAACTTTACTGTAAAAATATAGATCTTCAGCTTATACGACTCTCTTGAGGGTATAAAAGCCGCACGTTACACGGAAGAGCAATAAGCATTCAACTTTGAGATAGCACTGGTCAACTAAAAACCAATAAAACTCAAGAGACAACACTGTTTTCTCCACTCGATAACCCAGCTCAAGATTTTCTTCCTAGTTAAGATCAGTATGAGAGAAACTTTTACTAGTGGAGAAAACAGTGATGAGATCTAACAAATACAGAAAAGAGATCTAAAAATATGCTTTTTAATCTGCACAGGAAGATTAAATAAAGGAGATTTAAAGAGAATGCTGGTTTTTAGTTGAGGTGTGAATGGGAATGAAGGTAAATGAAAAGTTTTAAAAAGGTTGCTTTTTACTAGAAACTTTGTCCCTCAGAAAAGGGAAAAAGAGTATTATGCTGGTATATAGAAACACTTATTCTAGCTAAAAGAATCGAGAAGAAAGCAAGCATCGCGTCATTGTGTGCTCGGCCTTAGATTTGAATCAGGATTTGAATTTGGATTTTCTCACCAAAATTACTTCATCCTTTTCTCTTTTTTCCGTTTCCGTTATCTGTTCAAGTTGGTTTTTGAACAGGTACCAACAACTTTTTGTTCACAAACTTTTGGCTATAAATACATAGGCTTGGCCTCATTTTTGCGTGTAAATAGCACGGGCTAGCCAGTTTTCGAACTGGTAATTGAAAAATAGCTAGTGTTTGTAAAGTTATTGAAAAATAGCCGCTATTTTGCTGCAACACGGAAAGTTCCAACATAATATATTGAAGATTGGTGCATCTATGTATGAATTTCTAGCATATTATGCTAGAACTCCACCACACGGAAAGTTACAACATAATATACTAGAGATGGAAGCACATGTGTATAAACTTCCAGCATATTATGCTGAACTAGTGTATTATGCTGGAACTCCAATATACTATGCTGGAATTCCAGTAAATTATATTGGAACTCCAGTATATTACGCTGGAAATCCAGTATATTATACTAGAACTCCACTATATTATGTTGGAATATTTTTCGGATTTTGAACAGTGTTTTCGTTCAGATTTATCTTTACATGAAAAGTGGTTAAATTTCGATTACTTTTGATACTGTGGCTATTTTTCAATTACCACTTGTAAATCTGGCTATTTTTTAATTTCACCATATTTTTGCACTACCCGAAAGCTGCAAACTCTCCCCTCTGTTCACTACTTTCTGCATAGCTTTCAAAAGTAAAACATAAGTGTTTAGTGTGATTTACTCCGCCATTTGAGTTCGTCAAATTTCTTTAATTTGCGTTGCTGCTATTACAGAATAATTTTGCTTACTATCCTAGGAGGAATTAATTCAAATACTTTGCGCAACAGTAAGGGAATTAAATTCCTTAAGGACACACAAAAATATTATCGGCTTGGAATATTCTTGCATCATTGTTATAACCTTCTATTTTTTTGTTTATGAAGATAGTTTTACTAACAGATAATAATTTAAAAGCATTTTGAAGATGTAAAAAGAAGCTACATATGCATATACATGTGCTTATACATAGGAAATTGTAGCAAATTGGACTTCAGCTTCCCGGGGGGACGCAAGGGAGATGGACAACCATCAAGTTCCATCGAATCATATTATGCATATTAATAAACTAACTAACATATATAGTGGCTTTGGTGGGTTAAGGTCTTGTCCTCGGGGTGTCTGCGTGGGGGGTGGGGTGCGGAGGGTAAGAGGGCTAAGGGATCTACTAGGCCGAGAGTGGGGTCTTGGAACATAGGAACTTTGACTTGAAAATCTGTAGAGTTAGCGAAGATTCTCGAGAAAAGGAAGATTAATATAGCTTGTGTACATGAGACTAGGTGGGTAGAAGATAAAATGGGGATGTGGGCAGTTTCAAACTTTGGTATTCTAGGAGGGTGGGGGGCAGGAACGAGGTAGGTGTCTTAGTTGATAAGGACCTCCGTGAACTAGTTGTGGAGGTTAGGAGGGTGAATGACAGGCTGATGACTATTAAGCTAGTTGTTGAAGGTTTTACTTTGAACATAATCAGTGCGTACGCAACCCAAGCAGGCTTGGATGAGGAAGTCAAGAGGTGTTTCTGGGAGGATTTGGATGAGATGGTGCATGGTATCCCGCATACCGATAAACTTTTCATAGGAGAAGATTTCAAAGGCCTCATTGGAGCGACGTCTGGGGGGTATGATGATGTGCATGGTGGCTTTGGTTTTGGAGATAGAAACGGAGAAGGAACGTCTCTACTGGACTTTGCTAGAGCATTTGATTTGGTGATAGCAAACTCGAGTTTCCCGAAGCAGAGGGAGTACTTGGTCACCTTCCGGAGTTCGATGACCGAGACTCAAATTGATTATTTACTCTGCAGGAAGTCGGATAGAGGTCTTTGCACGAATTGCAAGGTCATCTCGAGTGAGAACCGCTCGACCCTTCATAGGCTCCTAGTCATAACCTTGAGATCATGAGGAAGAGGAGGAAGAGGGCGATGTAAAGCCAACATAGGATAAAGTGGGGAGCCTTAATGGAAGCTAAAACGCAAGAGTTGGGGTCAAGCTGGTGACTATGAGGGCTTGGAGGAGTAATAGGGACTCAAGCGCTATGTGGATCATGACTGCACAGTGCATTAGGGAAGCCGCGAGAGAGGTATTAGGGGTCTCAAAGGGTTACTCTGGTAGTCACAAGGGAGACTGGTGGTGGAATGGAGAGGTACAAGGAAAAGTGGAAACCAAGAAAGCAGCGTATCTGAAGCTAGTGGAAAGTGTAGACGAGGAGGAGAAGAGGGTGAATAGGGAGCATTATAAGTTGGCTAAGAAAGAGGCAAAGCTAGCAGCTACGGCGGCCAAGACTGCAGCCTTTAGTCGTTTGTATGAGAAACTCGAGGGACGAGGTGGGGATAAGAAGTTGTTCAGGTTAGCTAAGGCGCGAGAAAAGAAGGCGCGGGACTTGGATCAAGTGAAGTGCATCAAGGACGAAGAAGGTAGAGTTTTGTTGGATGAGGGGCTTATCCGTCGGAGATGGCAGACCTATTTCCACAGTCTCTTGAACGAGGAGGGGGATAAGAGTATTGTACTGGGTGATTTGGAACTCTCCGAGAGTCATTGTGACATTGGTTATTATAGGTGGATTAGAGTTGGTGAAGTTTAGGGGGCTATGCGTAAGATGAGCAGGGGCAAAGCGACCGAGCCGGATAAAATTCTGGAGGCGTTTTGGAAGAGTACGGGCAAGGTAGACTTGGAGTGGGTCTCTAGGTTATTTAATGTCATTTTTAGTATGAAGAAGATGCCCAAATAGTGGAGGTGGAGCATGATGGTTCGTGTATACGAGAACAAGGGTGATATCCAAAATTGCAATAACTATCGGGGTATCAAGTTGCTTAGCCATACTATGAAAGTCTGAGAGAGAGTGGTAGAGCTAAGGGTAAGAATGAGTGTGTATATTTCCGAGAACCAGTTTGGGTTTATGTCGGGACGTTCGACTACATAAGCCATCCACTTTGTTAGGAGGTTGATGGAGCAGTATAGGGAGAGAAAAAGGGACTTGCATATGGTGTTCATTGACTTACAAAAGGCGTATGATAAAGTCCCGAGGGAGGTCTTGTGGAGACGTTTGGAGGATAGAGGTGTACCTGCTGCCTACGTTAGGATAATTAAGGACATGTATGATGGAGTAACGACCCGAGTAAGGACGGTGGGTGGGGACTCAGACCATTTTTCGGTTATAATGGGGTTGCATCAGGGGTCGGCACTCAGTCCTTTTTTGTTTGATCTGGTGATGGACGTACTGATGCTCCACATCCAAGGGGAGGTTCCATGGTGCATGATATTTCGTAGCACCCTGGAAAATTTCAAAATACTTAAGCGCCATTAAGAAAATTGATGTGTGCTAATTACATTATTTTATGTGCAGATGAGGACTATTAATATGGTGTATATTAATTTAATATGATAATAAGTGTACTAGGTGTATTTGAAGTGATATAGGGCATAATGAGAGCCCCTGGGATAAGTCAAGATGGAAATTTTATGATAGACTAAAGTTCCAAACGAGAATGGACAAGACATAACTTTGGACGAGCATATCTAGACATACATAAGGAGTTATATGGTGAACAACCTATCAAATGAAATATTTTCGAGTCTAGTTTCTAAAACTTCAAACCGTTTGTCATTTTGGACATTTCTACAAGGAGTTATGGATGTTTTAGTAAAAGGTACGTGGTACAACCTGCATAGCGCAAGGTACAACTTGCTGAAGCACCAAATTGAGTTAGGGATTTTATTGAGTTAGGGATTGGTTCTTTCATGGTGGATCCGACCTTGGGGACAACTTAAGAATACAAGGTGAGTTTTTATGGATATTTTAAGTTAACAACATCCTATTAACACTAATATTAATATCATTCAATCTTTGAAATCCCTAGAAATCTTTCAAGTTGTTCAATAACACCAAATTTTCCAAACATTGGATTTTTGAGAAAAAGCTTCAAGAAGGTAAGCCTAATGCTTGGATAGTGTTATAATATTTGTTTCAAGGTAAGCCTAATGCTTCAAACTCATTTCTTATGAGTCGGTGACAGTAGTTATAATATTTGTTTCAAGTTGTTAAGGTTGGATAATTGAATTCACAAACCCTAGTTCATGGCATGGATAGTGTTTTTGAGAAAATGGGAAAGATGAAGAGTGTTCTTAGAAATTAAATTAAAGTATGCGATGAACTTATGGAATCATTTCCTAGCTAAATTGAAAGTGTTCAACTAAGTAATCACCAAAAATATTTTGGAAATGTTGGTTAATAAAGACGATGAGTAGTAATTTGGCGGTATTGAAGAATTAATGCAGTATCATTGATGACTTCAAATGGGTATTAATTGAGAAGAGTACAATTGAATATGCTAGTAAGTGAACTTATTTGGCAATTTGAGTTGTTGGAGGC